ATAGCAGGATATTAGATCCGTATCGTGGAACTTTACAAACACTTCAGATGATTTCAATAACTTAAGCATGTCTATCAAAAATAATTATTGCATGGCCCATATGTAAGCTGGGTGTGTGAACCATGCTTACGAGTATGTTGAGCGTAACTGATGATGTTCTGCTGGCCACAATTTCTTTATTTAATTTATCCTCCCGGGTTTCATTCCTATTTCTGTTAATGACACCTTGCCGATGTCGAGAAAAAACGTTTAGGAGATTTAACAGCCTGAGATACATTTAGTTTAAGGAAGGTTCAAGGGTGCTAGATTCCTTCCGTCCTCGCTATCCTTCCGAAAAACCAATCTGCATCGCCCTTAGTCTTCATGCTTCCCCCTCTGGACTGGAGGTCACCCCACCAGCCAACCTGTAGTTGATGTCGGATCCATTCCAGGACACATAATCCTCTTCGGATGACCGCTTGGGAGACGTCTGGACCTTCCCGACAGGGCAATCGTCCCACGGGAACAGTCTCGCTTCCGCAGATCACTGTCGCTGGCTCGCACAACCCAATTACTACACCAGAACATAGTTATGTCATAGCTCTGCAGGGGCCTTTTCAGACCGAAAAAGATGGCCCCAACAAAACAAACAATTTTCTCAATCAGTATTGTATCTCATCAAGCACCACATGTTTTCAGAGTGTTGTTTCAGAGCGTTCCGTCCAAAAAAGCGCAGCTCAATTTTCTCCCATTGACTTGAGCGATCTCAAAATTGACCCGGCCTTTCTGTCAATAATGTCAAACTTGCAAGGTAAACGTTTCAAATACATATACTGTTGCCCATTAAAATCGCTGAAAGTTCTGAAACGATCGGTTAGTCGGTGTATTTAGATATGATAAGCACAGGAACTTTCCTTGAGGTAAGGTCACTGTGACCTTGAATTGAAAGACTTTGGCGGGAAAAATGGGTCATTTGAAATATTAAAATGCTAGATTTTAACAATAATTGCAAACACTATCCCGGCCAAATAGTGAGTGAGAAGGGAGCGATTCCCCGACCCCATGTTTAGCTCCTATAATTGAGCTAGCTGCTAGAGCCTAGCGGAAAAAACGAGCGCTTGCGTCGTTACGTGACGCAGCGACTGGTATCCCATTTTAAAATATCAGTGACCTCTTAGGGCAGGTCAAGGGCCCCAAGGCATTTATCGTTTTTTTTTGTAAATAACTAAACGCATTATCGTCATTTCGATACAATCGTGTTTTCTGCTCTCAGACGCGTCGATTTATATGCTTTTTTGTTTAGGTGAAGTAACTTAAGATGTTTACCTCAGGTCAATGTCATGTTAGGGCAACGCAGGTCACGAAGCTGTTGAAAGAGGGACATGTTGCATAACATTTGATTCGGCAAGTCTTGCAAAGTCCATTGATGGCCGTCCCGACTGGCTAGCTTATTTTGATCGGGAGTTATTGACGAAACACTCCTATGACCCTAGTGACGTCATAAATGACGTCACGCAAGGTGAACAATGCAAAAGTGAAGCATTAGACCTTGCCAAGAATGTATGAAGTCACGATTTCATGTGCTTGAGGTATAGTCTCAGATCAAGTTTCCGACGCCAAATCAACAGTTTCCATAATTCCCCATTATGCTTATATGTCACTAAGTGCATTGCGGATTGCATCATTTTATAACCGACAACCGTGCAGAGGTTTACTTAAGACGTCATAGTTAAGTGACCTGACCTGAAAACGTGGTTGATGTCAAGTGATCCGGCTTGAATGAAATGTAAGGCATGTAAAATGTCAGCCTTCTATCAACAGTGTGCTTTAAGCTACCGCAAAAAAATACATGGTGGCAGCATCCACCCCTTCTTCTCGGCCGGCGAGGGTTAAACCTCGCTTCGAATTATTGCAGATACTGATGCGACCAAAAACAAAGAATTTATCTGTGTCTAGAACGGCCGCTGACTTGTTGGACAAGATCCCCAGTCTTAATTCGCTAGATGGGAATAAAATACTCGGTACCTATGTGATACATACTACATATATAGTTATACCCCTCGTTTTGCCCTCGCGCTAAGTCTATTCTAATCACCACTGTCTCTTTTTTGTCCGAGATGATGTCGCCGCTAAACGGGTTGTTTTGTTTGCTTGCTTGCGTTGAATGGCCATTACGGATTATTGAAGGATTATGATAAAATAGGAATGAGGCAAGGGAGGATATGCACTGCAGGTGTTTAATTTAGATCACAAAGGCATCATTTCCGGCATCGTGCAGAGTCATTATCTTCCCCTCCTCTGCACTGCGGCATCTCTGCGCCCCACACACGGCGTCCTCACTCCACGACCGGCCGCCGCCAACTGACCCACTCGCCGGGCGCCGCGACCTGACCCGTGTCGCTGCCGCGGCCTGCGCAATAGAGTCGGGGCTGGAATCCGGGGGTTCGGCCGGCCGGCCGCCTCTGGAGCGGGTGACTTTTTTAGTAGACCTACTGTACATACAAGCCCCTCCTCCGTCTCGATACTTTCAGTTACAGTAGTAACAGTTGACGTAGAAGGCAGCATGCAGGTCGGGAGTTTCACACTTCGGGCGATGCCCATTACTCAACATCGCTGCCAATGGCGTCCGACCGATTCCCTTGTGGGCCTTGAGAAAGATCAGATGCGATAAATAGGTACCATTGCTGAACGGGTTGGAAGCATGCAGGTTAGTCCGCGAATTATATTCATATACTTAGCTGCGACTGAGAATAGCGCGGACTCGGGATCAATTTCAGTTGGGGCCCTCAGCAAAGCTCACTCACTATATGATGTTATTGACAATTCCTGGCCGTTGTCATCGGACAACTTGTCAGATTGAATAATGGTTGGTGCACCGATCTCACAGATGTCCAGCGGCTCAAATCAACATGAGCTGCTTGCTTTGATGCTTTTTTTGCTGACTTCTTGCTTTGTGCATCAGCTGCTTTCAGAGGCACAGACTTGGTTAGGTGGTCCGGATAAACCGCGGGATACACTTAGGTAAGCTGACCGTCAGACTTACTTTCAAATTTATTGAAAGCCACCACTCACCAGCGCATTCCAGTTGGAAGTGGCGGAAATGACCGGTGGCGACCCCATCATGCATTTGTTGTTGGCACTGGTCGGTTTTTCTTCGCGCTGCTGACGAGTGGGCAGCTGCATCTTGAAGTCGTAGGTCACGTTCCAGAAGTCCTTCCAGCCGGGACAAAGCTTATCACGACCACCGTGCTCACTGTCCACTGACAATGTGACCTTATCGTGACACTTCAGTCTTGAGGCAGAAAACATTTCTAGTCCCCCGTTCTTTCTATCTCGAATGCATCAGCTCCGTACAGGACCAGAGCTAGGTTATTCACCCAGCGCCTGCTCTTTGCTGCTGCTAGGCCTTTGCTCTCATTTAGATAATGCCAATAGCTATTAAACCATCGCGGCATGAGGTTCATCGCGCACTTACCTGTCACTCGAACTCTACTGTAGACACGGCCACTGCGCCAGTTTTCTTCAATAAGCTCAACACGACATGAGTTCATTTCGCTGCAACGCTTGCCTCGCGCACGGATGGCTATCCGTCCTCATAGCTGGCCAGGTAGGTCAGCACTGCGCCAACAGGCGCCCAAGCCCGGCGGAATAACGGTATCTGTCCAGGGAAACGTAAAGACTAGCGACGCAACATTGAACTTCAACTATACCTTCCAAGCGAGAATCCAACATCAAATAGCTCGCAGTTAAATAGAGGTGGTGCTACAAATCCCTCTTCGCTTTCCTTAGTATTTTCTAAATTAATAATCGAATCTACCCCAAGCTTCCAGTGCAGTCTACTGCATCACTTTAGCGCCTTGTGTCTGAATGTGACTGCTCCGATTCTTCGAAAACTGGCTTAGCTGACACTTTGGTGGCTTTGGTGGCTTAGCTCTACTTTGGAATCATTAGCTGAGCTCCAACTTCCCATTGCTGTCATATCGAGTGGACGGAGAATGAATTATGACTTATTTACAGAGGATGCTGTTGTAAGACAATAATATGTCTAACCCTCGGGCACCTGGCATGCCATTTTTATAATAAGACGTGTGTCTTGAGACCCACTACGCATTATAAGACGTATGTACATGTATTTGTTGCATGGAATTAGTTTACGAGCATTTGTGCTAATGAGTTGTCTAATTCTTTATTACCTACAATTGTTTATTTTATTTGTTGTTGCATTAGAGTGTAGACACATTTGCAGGCGTTTGATACTGCAGGGTCTTACCGGACCGGCATGTGCCGCGCCGTGTGTCGCGCACCTGGGTCCCGCGGCGCAGTCCTGCCGGCGATCCTTGCGCGGACCGACCGACCATTAGCAGGCGCCGGCGCTAAGGATCGGTGATTAGACGATTGTAATCCACCAGCATTTTCATCAGTTCCGGCCAACTCAAATTACTTCCGGAATCGTACACGCGCGTCCGGAAGCGCGCGGCTGAAATGGTGGACTGACCGGCCCCTTTGAACTTTGACTTCCCAAGGAGTGTGACCGCGGCATTTCATGATCACTGACGCTGGACAAAGATCAAATCGCATCCAGTATGCAAATTTGCGCTCCTACATTCATGATTTCACTGATTCCAGTTTTGATGTCATTTTTCGCCATTAATTAAGCTTTGTTTTCATTTAGGCAAGGGTGGAGCTTCCTATTCACTTGGTGGGGCGCCTGCCCCACCAACTTGCCATTTTGCCCCACCAATAAGCGTTTTGCCCCACCAACTTAAGCCGATTTGCAGGACTTTACTGCTTAGCAAACCTATGTTTTTCGCATTGAGAAGCTTTGAAATGTCTGTGTAATGCAAAATATTATCTCTGTAATGAAAAGAATTGATTCATTGTTGAATTTTATCTAACTTAACAATCGGACATTGTAGGTTTGACAACTTTTTGCCCCACCAACTTTCCTGGAAAAGCTCCACCCATGCATTTAGGCCATGACACGTGCACACTGTCTGCTGCTGTGTGAAGTGTGGCGATGCGGCTCGAACCTACAGACTAGACCACATAATTAGAACACAAGATCCTAGCGTGGCTTATTAACCCGCGCGGGGCTGGGGTCTCCAGCCGAACGCGCGGGGCTGGGGGGGGGGGGTAAATTTTACCCCCCCTGTTATCTCCCGAACTAATGGTCCGATTTGGAAAATTCAAACGCCAATCGAAAGCTCTCATCACGAACTACTAAAAACATGTACTTAATTTAAAGTTTGAGGTCAAGGTCAAGGTCAGGTCAAGGGTACAAATTGCAAGTTTCTACAGTATCGGCCTTGCACCGTAGTTGCCGAAGAATGGAGTCATGGACTGAGACTGATCGCCCAAAACGTGTTCTTAGGCTACCAAGACAATATTCGTTGCATACAATATCATTCAGAGGTCAAGGTCAAGGTCAGGTCAGGTCAGGTCAGGTCACCAAAAAACAAAATATAGAAAAGGGCATGTGCGACACATGTTTTATGGGTCATTTTACTCATAGAATTCAATAGGCACACTCAATAAGTGATATGGACCACCTCTGGATGAATTTCAGGTCGAGGTCAGGTCAAGGTCAGGTCAAGTGAGGTCAAATTTTGAAGTTGGTTGTTAAGGCCTAAAAAGGTGTCTATCTGATGCAGTTTTGCACGGCGAATCGAATGGTGCTATTTTTGTTTCCGTACGAGGTCTAGAACTTCCAAAAAAGTCATTTTTCAAAAATTTTGTGTGTCGTGACGTCATAAAATTTTGAATAACTCCCACATTTTTGAACCGATTCTTCTAAAATTTGGTATGTAGGTGCACATAGACCACTTCTCTGACATATATTCCGGTTTTTTCGATAGACTCAAAATTTTGGATTTTATAATGATTTTCCCAAAAAAGTCAGTTTGTTGAAAAAACTTAGGCCAAAATCCAAAATTTTCAAAAAACCCAGATAGCCATTTGATAGACAAAGTAAAATTACGTATAACCTTTTTTGTTACGTCTTGATTCCTTTAAAAATGAAGATGTTAGCGGCGTTTGAACTTTTGCCGTTTTTGAGGCGAAAATGGCGAACATGACGTCACTAAAACGTCAATTTCTCAAAAAATTTCCGACGGATTTCGCTCAAATTTTCAGGGAACGTGTCAAATTGATGTAAGAAAAGGTACTGAAAGTTTGGCGGCGCTGCGCGCCGCCGTTTTTGAGTATCGCAAAAATTCGCGAGGAGGGGGGGGGGTAAAATTTACCCCCCCAGCCCCGCGCGGGTTAAAGCCTAATGCTCACTGCAGCTCGCGCTCTCGATCCCTAGAATTTACACTCTTGTCGCAAGTCGCAGTTTCATCTCTCTCAGCTCACATAACTTTTCATGTCGATCTCACGTTCATTATGAGCGAGCGAGCGCAGCGAGCGAAGCGAGTCTTTTCAATACTCGTATAACGGAAAAATCTCAGTATGAGCGGCCCGGCCAGGCCCGGCTCGGCCGGGCCGGGCCTGTAACGCTTTTGAGAGGCTTATATCTCAGCAACCGCTAGACTGATTGGCCTGCGGATTTTCAGACGCCAATGCGCAGTGTAAAGCTTGAAACAGACTCTTTCCGCAGTCAGGAAATCGCATGCGAGAGCCTATTCAAATACATGGAAGCACGCTCGCATCAATCGCACGCACCTCCCGCAAGCGATTGATGCGAGAAGAATTACAATGTATTTGAATAGGCTCTCGCATGCGATTTCCTGAAAGCGGAAAGTCTGTTTCAGCCTTAATGCTGGCTTATGCCATGTGTCTTTCTATGCCCCGATGCTAAGCGCTGGCCTAAACTTACATGAAGTTAGTTATGAATAACATATTGAAGTTAGCTGTATGACAAAAAAAAAAGAATAAGGCGTGTGCACAATACAATTACAAGCTTAATAACAACTGCCAGCGTGACGGCCGGCATCTTATCATCTTCCAGTCACTGATTAGGACCATGAACCGGAAGCGTTTAAAACAATCTGGTCCTTTGACAGCGGTGTAGAATGTCGGAGCAGCTTCCGCCGGATGGAGAAGGCGCCGTGGGACGGGGGTGCCAATCACCAATCACCGACCAGCGTCGTCGGTGTAAAATGGCGGATGGCACCAATCCAGCGGACGGCTGGAGATGCTTCAGCGCCAGAGGCCTTTGGGCGGTGGAAGGAGCATCCTGTATAAAAAGTCGGATGCTTGCCAAAGTTCCTCAGAAGAGCCTAGTGACGACGCCTGGAGACCCGCACACGCCCAACGCCATTCAACGAGTCCTGCTGCTGCATCCGAAAATGGACCGCAATTCCTTCCAAGGATGTAAATGAAACTTATCTGGAAGTAGACGGATCCCTTTGATTGTTCGTTAAGTCAATCTCCGAGTTGACGTATGATGTTTCTTTGTAATAGTGGACAAGTAATGAACATCTTTGTTTGCAAAAATGTAACATACGGCGCAAGCAATTGAGCACATAGTATTTAAGCCCAAAACAAAATTTTGCCGGTAGATATTGTGTTTTGCTGGCTTTAGAAGTAATCATTCTCACGATACCTAGCCTACAAACATTCGCCTTAGTAGGTAATACTGCAGCTGATGTCCCTAAGCGCTGACTGATCCACCCTATGCCCCCGCAGACTACGACGTCATCGGACGGGAGCTGAGGTCCCGCGGCTTCGGCGACAAGTGCCGATTCTGCGCGAATAACGGCGAACTGTGGTTCGTCTCCACGAGCCACAAGCTAAAGGTAAGAATACAAAGAGTGCTACTGTATAGGCACATTAGTGGCTGAGAAAGAAATGCAGCCAACCCTTTCGGAAAAAGTAAAATCGTGTTTATATCCTTCGTGAAAGGTACATCTCGTTTGTGTTCATTGTGCGCACTTTGTCAATTTCGCCGTCTAGTGTTATCAATCATGTTTGCAAAAAGTGCTGACTTTGTGCATCAACGTAATTTGGGACCGGAGTCTATGTGTGTTTTTTTTTTTACCTAACGGATTGCACCAGCACATCATCCCTTTGTTACTGAAGCTATCCAAGTAGCAGATAACACAGACTGTGTTCCATCAGATCCATTTACAGACAGAACCTTCACCTTAACTGTATTCTTTTCTGTGTTACAGGACGAACAAGGCCGCACCAGATGCCCCATGCTGCAGGCCTATACTTGCCCGAAGTGCCGGGCATGCGGACTCAACGCCCACACGAAAAAGTACTGTCCAACGAACAGGCGATAGGCGTAGGGTGCGAACATATATGTGTGAACCTACGAACATGTGAGACAGTTTGGAAGGTATTGTATGTATGCCGAGAGGGCACTGTCGTTCAGTGAATGTTTATATGGAGTGCGAATAAATGAGTTATTGCTCATATATGCGTTATTAACGTGCGATTGACAGTTGACTGGAACTTCTTTTGCGCCTACGCGACTGACTGAGAAGTGGGTCCCATTTTAATCCTCGCTGGACCTATCGGCTTTCTACACGCGCCGGGGCTGGGGTTGGTGGTGGTGGGGGGGGGGGGGGGGGGAGGGTCTGGTGGAACCCGGTGGAACCACTCCCCTAGCCGCTTCGCCATTTATTGAGCTCGAGTTTCGCGGAAAAAGGTGCACCGACACTAGTTAAACTGCTGGTAGCGGATAAGCAATGTATCAGGTCAACCGGTGAATGGTGATATCTGAAGTCAGGTCAAATGCTCTAAAGTGGGAATTCGTTTTCGGTTAATAACTCCCAAAAATGACCACAGCGACCGCGTTTGTAGCATTATCTGACCTCGACCTGAGGTCAACCTTCTGAGATGACCTGAGCGACGCGCCTAAACATGCCAAACACCATGCTGGTAACTTCACAGTCCGCTGCTATTTTTGGCGAAGCTGCTCACCAAAAACAGGCCCCTACATTTAAAGGAAAATTTGACCTGACCGCTAAGGTCTTCAGCTGACGTGAAACGTCGAAATTGGGTGCCAGCTGCGGCTTCCATAACGAAGCAAACGCTTATTTTTCGTAGAGTTCTAGCTCAATCAAGCGCGAAACAGTGAAAAGAGGTCTACTAGCCCCTCCCCCTCCGTCTCGTCTTGGTCGGGGAGCAGGAGAAAACCGATAGGTTTGGTGAGTGCCCTTCCCGTCCGAGGGGGGGGGGGGGAGGGAGGCTGGTGTCGCCTCTGACGGTTTTCTAGCGATTGCTTGGAGTGCATGAGCGTCGAGTTCTTCTGAAGCGTCAGCTGAGCTCAGTCCGATCACTTGATAAACGTAAGCGGCGTCGTAGGCGTTTACGGCGCAACTAGAAAAAAACGGGACCTTTCTAGGGGCCAACGAAGATGGGCCTAATAACGGCCGTAGAAGTAACTGGCCGATCTCTGTCATAAGCTCGGACTAAAAGCTGCGATTGTAGCTAACAAGTCAATAAGTGCTAACAATAAAAGGGAAGTCTATTTCACGTCTTTCGCTCACAGCTATAAAAAACGATCTGCAATACCGTTTACACTAGAGCCCCATCGGCAGCAAAACCTGAAGACTACATTATAAGGTAGATACCTACCCGTCTTCCGTCCCCCGTACCCGGCTGGATCGATCAGAAGCGGTCCGGGCGGCCTGGCGCGACGCGACATTACCAAGCGCCACCCCTGCTGGTCAGGGATTAGACGACTGTAATCAGCCAGCATTTTTACCACTTCCGCCGGACTCTAATGACGTCCGAAATTGCACACCACTAGCACACAGCTGAAATGACAGATAGTCGGCCCTATCGAAATTTGATTAAAACAAGAGTAAGTGAAACATTTTTTGGGGCCTTCTTAATCGATTACTGACTCTACCCGCACCCCGTAGGATACCTCTACCCGTCTTCATTTCCCGCTATTTCCTAGTATAAGGCCGATTTGATCGCTCATTTGCATACTTGTCACATAAACTTTGCATACCTATTATCATTGAAAAATATTGCAGAAACTGATAGGATGCAAAACTAAAGATCTTCGAACTGCTATAGCTTTGTGTTAGGCCACACAAACAGGTCTATAATATATCAAGGTTTAATGTGAGGAAGAACTGCCAAGCTTAGTTTTGAAGACAAAAAAGATGTTGATATTGTTCCTAGCATAGGTATTATATTTTCTTTGAATTTTCTACAAGGACAAAAATTCAAAGGCAGCCCGTTAATTCCCGGAGATCTCAAAATGTTGCAGTACTCTGATCATCTGTCACATTTTGGGCGCTCCGTATGGACGGAAGACTATACCTATACCTAGGTATATGCAAGTGCATACATACTACCCTAGGGACTGTGCATTGTGTTAAACAGTTTTACCATGGGCAATATAGTTAGGTAATGTAGCCCAATTTCGGCATTCCATCGTCCGGCAGTAATAACATGGTTCACAGCGTAAGTGCTCTGACATTGCTGCGGTGTGGTTTCTGCCTTTGTGTGTTGAATACCGCCGACCAAGAGGCGTCTGACTAAGCTACACCAGCAAAGCGGCCCCGGTCCAAGCCCTCAATCAGCGTCAAATAGCACACAACACAGCGGGATACTCAGCAGTCGTCTTTATGTGCGTCATCAAGCAGCAAAACGGCTAGCAAAGCCGCCATGGTTCCGCGCAAATATTCGGAAGCCCATGCCCTCCAATGCAGCGCCAAATTCACGAATATCTTTTGATACCTATAGATCCTTGCCGGTAGCAAATACTTTGGAATGGATTTTCACCGGATGGTTTTTTGTCTTTTTATCAATGACAGACTCATGGTATGGATGAGTAAGTGGTATATAGTATACTTGACATACCTATGCTAGGTAAAGGTATGTAAAAACACCATAGGTGGAGAATTGTAGGAGTTGTGTGTGTGTGTGCGGGCAATGCCAATCCACCGCCCGAGTGCCCCGGCTTGGCTTTGGGGCCGCAGCAGACGGCAGAGGTCAAGGTCACCCGCGCTGGGCCGGCGGATTTGCGGTGCCCGAACACCCACAGTTCCTTACAATTATCCACGCATGTGTAACACATATGTTGATAATGAGAACAGAAAAAAGCTAAAAATAGCGTAAGCACATAACCCCAAGACACGTCTTAGTGCGATAAACGGACGAGCACGAGATTAAGTGGTGTTCGTGAACAAATGAAAACTAGACTCCAACTGACTTGTGCGGGGCAAGTCCTACTAACCAGTTTCTAGCGGCATGGTGTACCAAAATTGGAGCGCAATCAGCCTAGCCAGTCTCCATATGAGGAAGCAGCCTTCTGTTCGTGCGCAAGTGCATATTGGATCCCACCCTAGTGAAAAAGTCCTTAAGGATTTCGCCAGAATCCCCACAATCCTTAAGGATCCATAAGGACCCATATGGATCAGATATGAAATCCTTAAGGACTCTACGGACCCTCTTGAATCCTTAAGGACGCATTCGCCGATCCGTAAGGATTTTAGGGAGATGTTTGGTATCCTTAAGGATCGCTCAGTATTCCGTAAGGAAATTGCTACTTGCTAGTGTCGCTTAATCCTTCAGGATAGCCGATGCAGCCAGTGCGTCAATCATTATGGAGTGATTGAATCATCCCTAGTATTATTCCGTGCTCCGTATCCGTTAATTTCTTAGCCATATGACATATACGGCATGTAAAAACTTTGTGACGGACCGAAGCAGCGTTCGTTATCATCATAGGCGCGGGAACCGGGAGGCGAGGGGGCAGTGGGAGCAGCTTGCCCCCTCTCATGTGCTGCAACTTTGAAATTAAATATTTTCGATTTATGGCATTTCTCGATATTGCGAGTGCTAAAACCGGTGATTGTGAGCCAGGGATAACAATTTGGCTATCTTAACTCAGAATTAATATTCAGCTGGGATGGTCACCTAAATGTCCACGCTGGGTTCACCCAGACTCCAAATCGGATAGACGAATAGTTCTGATAAAAAGTACCTATTGGTATCTCAGCCAAGTGCCACAGTATGCATGTATCGTATGGCCTTAGTGTCACCGGTGCCACAGTGTGCGCTGTGCTCTTTCAGAGACCGTACCGACTGGAATTTAGCGACCGCTGACCGTTTTAAACACTGTACGGGCGGCAGCGGGCGGTCTGATCCTCGCCTCCGGCAAGAGGGGAGACCGCGCGTCCCCCTGTCGCATTGTGCCGCTGCCGCTCGCGGGACGCGGACGAGTCTGTGGAGTGTGTTGTGCCGTCTGCCGTCTCCTCTTCGGGCCATGTAAGTTTCTGCCATGCTGTGTATCAATGAGATAATTGATCCTAGTTATTGCATTGATAGATACAAAAACCGGCGCTGAAACGTTCACTTCAATTAATGGCGATCGTCGTCGTCATTCATTTGGCTGCGGCAAATGAAAGTACTACCGGTAGCGTCTTTTAGCGTCATGCCTTGGAACGAGGCCCAGATAAATATAATAGAATGGATTCAGGGTAGTAGGACGTAGGTGCATATGTGATGCATTGCTAAATGAACATACACAGGCATCTAAGCTGGAAATGACTGAACTGAATTTACTCAAAGGCTCACCAATATTCTTTGGCTGGGACTGCAGTGTAAGCCTAAGAGTAGAATACGTGAGCCTTTGAGTAGGTATTGTTGATCAGTATATTACTGTTATTACATAGGAATATCCGTCTTGTTACAGGAACGCAGGATGCAAGACTCGACAGGCGACGGGCGACTCAACCGCTCAAGATGTGTAGAATGTGGATGGCGGAGGAGCGGCGGCCGAGGACGTGTGACGTGATAATATCTGAAGCGTGGCTGACTCGAAAAAGTGTAGACTTATCTTCCTGTAAATATGTTTTTCGGAAGTCCTCGGCTTATATTTCTCGGAGTCTCAGCTGCAACCTGCGAATGCCTAGAGCTCCATATATGTATACCCGGTCGCCTGTGGTTGGCGGCTGCTCCATTCCTGGCAATGAAAAATGGCTAAATGTGCTTGTTTCAAGTAAAAAATATAGCACCAGAGACCGTACAAATGTGTTTGCTAGGGTTTGATCCTTAAGGATTCATATATCATTCAATAAGGAATAGCCTCAAAATCCTTGAGGATTGTCGCCAAGATCCTTAAAGATTTTGCTACCAATCTTTAAGGAAAAACCACAAAGTCCTTAAAGATTATTACCAATGTCCTTAAAGACATTGCTAGAGATCCTTAAGGATTTAGCTAAAAATCCTTACGGATTTTCCGCAGAATCCTTAAGGAATTTCTAACAAAATCCTTAAGGATTGTGTATCAATTTCGTACAAGGATTTTGTTAAGGATCGTCCTGAAGAAATACATAGGACTGTCCTTAAGGATTTTTTCACTAGGGCAACGGATTTGTGCGGGCCCCATTAGGCGGTCCCTAACGCTGTAACATTTTTTTGACGTTTCTGTAAATTATCATTTT